TATTTGGTATTCTGCTTATGCGACTATTCTTTTTAATATTTGGTATTTGGCCAAAAGTTGCAAACTATTCTTTTTTTCACTACAATCTGGTATCACTGAATACCAGGTTGTAATGAAAAAACGCAAAAAAATGGATTAAATATAACTATTTTTTTAAATTTTTTATTTAAGAAAAATAATTGCCATATTTAATTCTTAAAATTTAAGGTGTTAAGTTATGATAAAATTATTGTCATTGGTTGATGATAGCAAATGATTGCAAATTCTTCTTAAATTATACATACAGCTATTCACGAAAATTTAAATGAGAGTGTAATTTTGATCAAGTAGGTTTAGATTTTTCTTAATTAAAAAAAAAGTAAAAATGATGTCGATTTCATTTTTTTTATTTATTAAAGTAAAGGTAATTAGTTTATAAATAATATTATAAAAAATAATTTATAATAAATGTGAACTTGTTATGAAATTATTTATATTAATTAATAAAAAGTTAGTTATAAAAACATGTGAAAAATAAAAACCACAAAAAAATAGTAGCACAAAAGTTTAAACAAATTTTTACAAACAAAAATGGAATAAAAATGCAAAATTAATATTTAAAATGTCCACCTTTGTTTTCATAGCAAAGATAAACTCGTTTCTGCATCGATTCAACTAATTTCGTTTCATCGATTTAAATAATTTCATCTCTTGAGGTACCTTCAATCAGTACTAATTCAAAAATGCTCAGTTGATTGCATTTGGTGATAAGTAAGCTGATTGTTGATCCAAAATCAAATATTTTCGATTGGGTTGAGATCTGGCGATCTAGGTCAACAAAGGATCACATTAATCTTTTTCTGCAAAAAATATTCTTTGATTGATTTAGCTGTATGAGCTGGAGCCCCATCTTGTTGAAAGATGTATTGCTTGTTTCTACCATACAACTGCCTGATTGATGGAGTTAAACACGTTTCCAATGTGTTTTTGTAGGTGTACTGATTTATTCGGCATTTGTACAGCTCACACATACCAATACCTTTGTGAGAAAAACATCCCTAAATACCAATCGAACCTTCACCGCCTTGTCGATGTGGTTGAAAAAACCGTTCTGAATATTTCTCCATTGCAAATCTTTTGACATATATTCTTCCCTTGCGGTTTACAACTTGAAAATTAGCTTCATCACTCGAAATGACTTTTAACTAGTCTTCAACAGTCCACCTCAATCTTTCTTTTGACCACATTCACTGTTTATGCTGGTCCATGATTGATAAAATAGGTTTTCCTGCTGCAATGTACATTCCATTACCTTTTTGCAGCAATGTTCGCCTAACGAGTTCTCTGCTTACATTATGATTGTTTTTCGACTTGTTGAAGATTTGTACTAGTTTTTTGTAGCTGTGCCTAGGATTCTCTCTGCAGATTCTGAATATACTACTTTTGTTCCAGTCACTGAGCTTTGATTGTCTTCTAAAACGCGGCATGTCAATGACATCCTGGTAAGTTCCCAGGTTTTGGCTGTTTTTCGTACGCAAGGTTCAGAAAACCCATGTATTTTGCCTATTTCAACGTTGCTATGAATTTTTGACTTAGACATACCAATAATTTGCCATTTGATCTCACTTGAAACTGGTTTTTGTCCCATTTGCACGCAATTTGAAATTGTTTGAAATTTGCAATAATTTCAGTTGATTTTCGTTGAATATGAAGCTGTTGGATAATGTTGTGACAAATTTTTTGACTGAAAACCACTTAATCTACTTAAGTTTATGTTTTAAAACAATTTTTGCACCGGATTAATTAATTAATCCGATGCGAAATTTTCACATGTGTATTTTTATAATTAACTTTTTTTTTATTTTAATGAAGCAGGTTGGAACCTTCAAAATTAAATAAGTCATCAAATATTTTACCTAGTATTCGGTATTGGACAAAACCACTATTATACCAAGTAATTTGGTATTGGGCAAAACTACTATTTGTGACATCTCTAATTTTAACACAATTAAAATGGTTTTATAAATTTTATTGCTAGCATTTACTCTTGTATTAAAATAGAGAATTTTTTTTTTCTATTTATTTATGTTTTTGATAATAAAAGGGTGACCCGGGGCAACAAATTGAGATATATTTTAGGAAAATTTGCATAATTTAAAAAAAAGGTTTTGCACAACATTAAGTTTTGCTTGTCAATTGCCTATTATGTGTTTTATGGTCATTTTAAAGTTAAATGACAAGATATTATATTACTGTGAAATTTCTTTTAACATGCAAAAATATTAGTTTCACTGCCCTCAAAATCTGAGGCAAAAAGATGTTTCATATTATGAAAAATAATCTAAATTGGCACCTTTAATTAAGTTTTGTTGGATTTTTATAAATCTAAACTTTAAAAGTTTAAATAAAATATACAAACTTGTTTTAGCTACAAATTTTTAAATAAATTGAAACATTTTGATAAAATAAAACATAAAAATTGTTGTCTTATGTAAGTTTTTTATGTACCCTTGCAGTAGGTATATAATTAGTTAATCAGTTGGACTGGGTATTGCATTATTTTTCTTGACAAAACTGCAAAAATCACTCTTCGCCACACAATTACTTTTCTAAATTTTCTTCTTTTTTTAATTTTTGTTTTGTTGTCATGTTTGGACTTCTTCCTTTAAAAAAAAAAGTTTCTTTTCAGTGGCGTAGCTAGGATTTTTGGGCCCTGAGGCAAAAACCAGTGCAAGGGCCCCCCAACTAAAATATTTCCAAAATAATTTTATAGGAATAATATAAAAATTTTGCTTCAAAAAATATATTTATAAAATACTAAATAAAATGTAAACTTCAGTAAATAAAGAGAGAAAAGGTATGCCATATGCAATATTAAATATAAAACATTTTATGATTTGTTCATATGAATTTCTAATGTAATTTTACTTTTCACGAACGTGTTTTAAAACTTCAGTAGCTTCCTCCAAGTCTATTTCTTGTTTTTGTAAAGTTTTTGAAGCATAATTAACCTCGCACATTACCTTAATTAAAAAAACACAGATAAAAACAAAATCGAATGTCCCCATTTTTTTCTTTATTTGAAGTGCTTCTTCACTTTCTTGGTCCTGGTCAATTTAAGGATTATTTCAGTCAAAGCTTTTAAAATATCCATAAATCGCAATTTTACAGCTGTTAATGATTGTAGTCTACCAGACCATCGAGTTGGATTTAGTTTTTTCAATAAAACTTCAGACTCCCCAGTAAATATAGAGAGGAGGTCCCATCTTTTTATGCTATTTCCAAAAAATAAATAAATATTTTAAAGAGTAGCATAAAATGATAAGATATCATGCGAACCATTTACGCAGTCATTAATTACCAAATTTAAATTATGACTATTACAGTGTACATACTCAGCATTTGGTTGGATTTGTTTAATCCTGGTTTGTACACCACTGTAAACTCCACTCATAACGTTAGCACCATCGTAACCCTGCCCATAATACTTTTCAATTGGAATATGTGCTTCTTTCAATAACGTCAATACTTGATTAGTTATTCCCTCTGCTGAATGGTCCTTCAATTCATAAAATCCTAAAAATGTTTCCTTAATTTTAAAATGAGTTGGTTTACATTTGCATGATTTACATTTCTAACAATGTGAACATGCCGTATTATAACACTTAATTGGTCTCCCTTAGTAATGTCATGACACTGTCGTAGTTAGAAAGTAATTGAACTTATAATCCTCAGTAAATCCTTCAAGGTGACCACGAAATGATAAAGAATTTTTTGACAACGTAAGTGTTATGCGGAATAATCGTATAATAAAAATAAATAATAAATAATCTTTTGTGATAAATTTTTCCAATCCTTTATCCCCGATTGCCATTGACTTTTGATGCTTGAAAAAAGCCAACAAGGTTGACAGTATACTGCGTCCAACGTACTTGAATAACAAATCCATATTCGTGGAACTGGGCCATAGTTTGATGTAGAATAGTAGTAAGTTTCATTGAAACTTCTGTTCTGTTGACTAGGATCTTTGGGAAATGGTCCTTTAGGTCTGTGACCAGGAATGCTTATCAGTTATCTTTTGGTTTCATCAGAAATGTTCTGATTTAAATATTTTCCTGGTCACTACATATAGTGATATTTGTATAAATGATATTTTTTTCATTAATACCTGTTAAAACTTCCTGAGCATCAACTATCATCTGAAATTTTTTTAATTTCTCCATCGCTATAGTCTGCTTTAGTTGATTTACAAGCAATCACTTCTGTATAACCTTTCTCTAAAATATTTGACTCATCATAATATTCACATTCGATCGATGCATCATCTGGAGTACTCTCTTGGTTATTATTATTATTTTTAATAATAAACTTGTCTAGCTTTGGTAATTTATTTAATGCTTCTTATTTCTGTTTTTTAAGTTTTCTTTTTTGAAACCCACTTTTACTCTTTAATAGTTCCATGTTTTCTTATAACATGGAAATAATCAGGATAAATTGTACAATTTTAAACTCCCTAAACAGAAAGCACTATATGGTTATTGCAATGCTTCAGATAATCTAAAGAAGAAAAACGGAAATCGTAAATTTCTTAAGAGAAAGGGAGATATAAAGAAAAGAAACAATGAATTTTCTATTTTGTATTTTTCTATTAGAAAAATACAATGGATATTTAAACAATGTTAAAAACCTCAGCAACTGTTACGAATACATATTTTTGACGCTACACATGCATGTTAATGTTAGCATTTCTAAACTGTTACTAACGGTCCGGAAAAAACGCGCGTTAACTTTAAAATCAACCAATGAAAACACTGGTAATTTACATATTAGGAGAAATCTAAATAAAAAGGGGAGGGGAGGACTAATTAACTGAAAGATTTCTATAAAGTAAAAAATTAGAATCGCAATGAAAACTAGATAAAATATTCAAATTGTTTATATAAAATTAA